ATCAGAAGGTATGTATCTAGTTGTGTGTTTGATCATGGTTGATATTATGTATGTATCTTGTTGTTATGATTGTTTTATCGGTAGCTTACCCCATACATGTTTGTTTTTGTGTGTTTGTGAATGAAATTATCGGTGATGGTCATATAACGTGTTATACGTTAGCAGCGGATAGACTAGAGAAAGGATGAGAAAAAAATCTTAAGATTCAATTAAAGCTATTTTGTTTTACAAGTTAAGAAATATATAACTGTAGTATTTTATTCATTATTTTATTACTAGAAATAATGTAATATTATAAAAAAAATGAAATACGTTTTTGTGCTATAATAAAATTTGAATGTTTTCGATTTTAATAACCCATGACATATCAAAATATGAGATGTTACAATTAATCATTATTAAAACAACGAGATCGACTCCATGATTTACTTAACCAAATAACTATGGATAATTGTTTAATAAAAAGTATTCCCACTCTTCCAAAAATATACTACTTTTCATCCTAAAACAATTCATATTCTCACTCTTATGATATGTAGTTGTAATATTTGTAGTTCATTCTAAAATAATTAATGTTCTTATTTTATATGTATTATTAGTTTTTTTTTTTATTTGTTCTCCTAAACACTCTTAATAATTAATTAATGAAAAAACGAAATAAATATGATGACAATGAGACCATTTTAGTAATATATATATATATATATATATATATATATATATTGTAGTAAAAACATCTCATTATGATTTGTCGGACTTCGAGTAAAAGTATTTAGAATGATTGAGTTTATTTCTAGTGAGAAGTGTATTTTATATGTCCTAGTTAATTCTTCTATTATTCTCGGATATTAACTAATATTATGTAATCTTAAAGTTTATATTTTCCTCAACTAATTATAAGTACCACGAGTAGATATGCTCATGATTTTTGCCTGGTTTTATTTTATCATTTTGTTAGTAATTATCAGGCTTTATAATCAACATATTAGATAAGTTACGTTCCCTTTTAAACTTAAATAATAATTTTCTCATTATTTCTTTTAAGTTTTTTTAATTTAATTTTAATATATCTTTTTTTAAATTTCGTTTCAATTTTCGTAATTGTATTTAATTTAGTTCCATTTGTTAATGTCATTTAAATCATTAACTAACAGTGATTGTGTTTGTGTTAGTTCATGTTTTTTAGTTTTTAATTATTTTATAAAAAATGTTCACTTATCAATCTAATATTCTGTCATTTGTCAAGTTAATGCCATGTGTTAGAATTAATATTTTATATTTAATTTAGTCTATATTCACTTGTGTACAATTCAATCATAATTTTTTAGAAAAAGTGAAGCAATTTTGTGCTTCTTTAAATTAAGACTAAATTTACTATATATAACACCTCAATTCTGGGAATCACTAAAACACATTAAACTCAAAAACGTTTTGCAACATTATCCAAATTGTCAAAAACATAAGTTGAATACCTTTAATAAATTCCAAAGGTTAATTAATATCTACGAAACCAAATATTAAAATCCAATTGGACCTAATCTAAAAATCCTTTTTCAAAAAAGAAAAATACAATTCATATGAAACTCGAGATAACATTTCTGTTGATGGATTGACAAGTGTAACAAATCGCACAAGTAATATAAAACGGTAAGACCAAGTATCGTATCCTAGAGGACTCTCGGCACTAAACAATTGTGTAATAGCTCGATTAATTAAGACTTAAATAAAAAGAGATCATTGGTTTAAAATGCACAGACAAAAAATTAAATATGAATACAATTGATCAATAGCAAAGAACACAACGATTAAGAGAGGTTGTTTATAAAATGAGATGATTATGTTGTTAGGGTTTGATTTCACCAAGTTTACTCTCATGTATATAACAATTCTTCTTTTTACATTAATGTTAACGTCACTCACTAAATTACTTAGAACCCGATCCCTCGGCGCAATAAGCCTGCCTTAATTCCTAGTTCGTGCAACTCCTAGCGTTCCTAGAAAATTAAGTCTCAAGATCAAGAGCTTAAGATGACCAAGTACTCATACCCTCATCCCTCAGAAATATTACCCTTGGGAGAATTCAACAACAACCTGAATTGTAAGGAACCTCCCAGCACTCATGCAATTCATAAATCATGCTACTAAATGAGTTAAATAGAGCAAGCATTGAAACAGATGAATTCCCTAACAATTAATGAAAAAACATATATGATTAAGAATCAATTCAAATACATGAGAGTTCACAAGGTTACATCATTCCCCAACAACAAATAGAGTTTAGTTCCCCATAGACATGGATAAACTAGATGAATAATGGAAAAGCATGAGATAGTAAAACCCTAAAAGTAGAAGGGAACCTCTCGCCTCCAGATCCTCCTTCAGAGAGTAGAAGAGTATGATGTTGTGTTGCTCCATCCAGAGATACCAAACCTAGGACGCCAGGGTCCTTTAAATAAAACAGAAGTAGCATAGAAACAAAGCCCAAGCCTGAGTCGCCGGCGCTCAAGCGCCCCACTTAGGGCGCCCGGGCGGCGAGCGGTGGTTTTCCATGCTCAAGCCTCGCAGAGGTCGCCCAAGCCTTCTACATCCGGCGCTCAAGCGCCCTCAAAAGGGGCGCCCGGGCGGTGAGCGACACTTCCTACGCTTAAGCCTTCCAGAATACGCACAAGCCTTCTTCATTCGACGCTCAAGCGCCCCAAAAAAGGGCGCCCAGGCGGTGAGCGACACTTCTTGCGCTTAAGCTTTCCAGAGTACGCCCAAGCCTTCTTCATCTGGCGCTCAAGCGCCCCAAAAAGGGGCCCCCAGGCGGTGAGCGACACTTCCTGCGCTTAAGCCTCAAAAAGGGCGCCCAAGACTCGAGCTTCTTTCCTTCTGATGCTTTTTCTGGACCTTTCTTAGCTCTATCTCTTTAGCATTTCATGCCTGCTTTCCATCTTAACTCATTTTCTATCAAAACAAAAGGAATTAGTCATAAAATCATCAAATTCAACCTCGACTCTCTTATTCACACAACTTAATAGAAAAAAATTATTCCAAGCAAGTTTCTAGGCAGAAAATGGTGCATTTAGTATTAAAATTACATCACAAATAACGTTATTTTCAACCATTATCACAACCCCAAACTTAGAACTTTTCTTGTCCTCAAGCAAAACAGATTGTAACTCAGCTTTTCAGAACAATCACTACAATGACTCAACCTTTTTCAAAAACTTTTTCTTTTAGACAAGAAATCACTTTGATCAACTCAGCATACAGATGTCAATTAAGATGTATAGATGCCTTATTCAATTGAAATTAGTGTGATGCTCATGTACTTCAACAAATGTTATCCTTAAGAAGGATCAATCAACCAAAAAGAGATGCAATCAGAAATTCAGAGAACTACTCATCACCAAGGAAAGTGTTTCACTCAAGCACTCAAAAGTGTATAACTAAACTCACAGGTGTATAGTGAGGTTGTGGTGTCTTTTTCACTCTACTATCACAATGTTACACAATTTAATTTTGCCTTTCATTTAGCCACAATCAAACATACTCACAAGCAGGTTGTCATCACAAGGACTTTTCATGGCTTGTAACTTGGCTGGGCTAAGAAGGAAATTGGTTTTTCTGGTCAACAAAATCTTTGAGTTAAGAGAGACATTTATGGTTTCATTGTTCAAGCACAAACTCTTTTTTTTTTCCCAGCTTTCCCTTGCATTGAGCTTTTCTTTTCTTTTCATTTTTCTTTTTCTTTTTCTTTTCAAGTATTCAATGCTTAGCTCAATGCTTTTTTCTTTTCCTTTCTCAATCTTTCCAGCAACCCAAAACTTGAACCTTTATCAATACCTCACAAATGTTCTCAGCTTAACTTAAGGTAAAGATTTTCATAAAGGGTTTTCAAAACATGCATAAGACTTAAGGTTCAAAGGTTAAAAAAATTGTTTTCTTTTCAGTGGACAAAATCATGTGAAGGCTTAAAGAATAAGGGATAACAAAAGAGGGCCTTGATCATATGAAACCTGCAAGCAAGTAGTTTAATCACAGAAAATTTGGGCAAAATCATTCATACTTCCAAAGTAATAACAATTATTCACAAAAACTCTAAAGCCCAAAACTCACACAGGTAAACTCTCAAGTCCCAGAATTCAAAAAAACAACTTGCTCAGTATCTCAATCAAACTTTACCTCAAACACTTGTTTTATACACTGCGAGTCATCACCTGTAGATCAGCACATCATGCATCATCTCAACATCAATCAATACACTAGAATATCACAAAGCAATACTTATCACAAAACACAGCACAGTTGAATCAAAGTAGTTTAATTCATTCAAGCAAAGTACAATAATAAAACAATTGATTAAAAAGAAAACAAAATAACAAAACAAAAGATTAAAAAGAAAGGTTTAGAAAGATGGGTTGCCTCCCAGTAAGCGCTTCTTTAACGTCACTAGCTTGACCCAATAAACTCATATCACATGTTTAATGTTGATGCTCTTCCTTCCTTCATAACACTGAAAAAATCTCCGCAATTTCTTGGCCACCAACTTTACTCTCCTAGAATAAGGAGCTTCAATCTCAAGGATCCCTTTTTCTTTAATGTTCTTGACAACCCACAGCCTATTCTTGAATTTCACTGGTGTGTCAGGTTTGGGTTCATCATTTTTCATCTTAGGATGCTGGTGGACCACTTTTTCTTTCTTCCCTTCTTCCTCTTCTTTCACTTGTGGAGAAAAACAATTAAGCCTCTCTTTGACCAACCTGACAGCTTTATCTAATAAACTAGTAACTGATAGAATTTCATCTGTTGTTTTACTACTAGTTTGCTTTTCTTGAATCGGCTGCCCAGCTTCAAAAACATTGAAAGTTACCTATCTCTCTCTCTTGGTCCTTTAATGTTAATGATCCATCATCTACATGAATGTCAACCTTGGCTGTCTTCATGAATGGTCGTCCAAGAATTATTGGTATCTCTGCATTTTCCTCCATCTCCATCACCACAAAATCCACCAGGAATTAAAGCTTATCAATTTTCACCACCACATCTTCTACCACACCATAAGGGTGTTTGATGGACCTGTCTACCATTTGTAAGATTGTTTTTGTCGGTTTGACCTCCAGACCATCAATCTTCTTGAGCATAGATAGGGGCATTAGATTGATACTTGCTGCTAAGTCAACTAGAGCCTTCCTTATATCATAATTCTTAATGGTGCAAGGGATAGTGAAACTCCCCGGATCTTTAAATTTGGGAGGAAGTGTCTTCTGCAATATGGAATTGCAATTATCCTACACTTCAATTATTTCCTCATCTAGATACTTCTTCTTTTTGAGGAATTGCTTCATGTGCTTAACATAAGCAGTAATTTGCTGAAGTGCTTCGGTCAAGGGCAAAGTAATTTCCAATTGTTTGAAGATCTCCTTGAAGCGCTGACATTGCTTCTCTTTTGCAATCTTTGAACACTCCTTAGGGTAAGGAAGAATTTTCTCAATTTTTCTCTTTCCTCTCTCTACTTCTTCTTTTTCTTTTCTCTCTTCTTTTTCTTTCTCTTCTTCATCATTTTCTTTTTCACTCAACCTTTCTTTTTCTTTTCTTTCTATTTTTCTCTCATCTAAAATCTTACCACTTCTAGTCATAATGGCATGACACTCCTCCTTAGAGTTAACTTCAGTATTAACCCCAAAACTTCTTTTAGGTGTCTCCTCCAACTTCTTGGCCAATTGACCAACCTACATCTCCAAGTTCCTTATAGAAGCTTCATTACTTTTCTGAGTGGAAAGACTGGCCTGTATGAATTGTTGGAGAGTCTCCTCAAGCTTTGTAGTTTTTTCATATAGAGAGGGTTGTTGTTGCCACTGTTGTTGTTGTTGTTGCTGTGGTGGTTTATTGAATTGCCCCCTAGTTTGCTCAAACTAACTTTGTCCATTGCTAGGATGAGATTTCCATCCTTGATTATAATTGTTGGGACGAAACTAGTTGCCCATGTAACTAACTTCTTCATTGATATTTTCAGGCACAACACATTGACCATTGATATGATCACCACCGCATTGTTCACAAAGTTGTTGTTGAACTTGTGAGACATTCCGGCACTCCTTTGGTGGTTGAGAAAGTTTCTTTGTCAACACCTCTAACTGTTGAGTGATAATCTTATTTTGAGCAAGCAAGGCATCATAAGATTGTAACTGTAACACTCTCTTGTCATCGATAGCCATGTTTTCAATTAATTCATAGGCTTCATCTGGAGTCTTGCACCTGATATTGCCTCTAGCTGAGGCATCCAACATGAGTTTGGTCTGTGAGCCAAGACCTCCAAGGAAAAGAATAACTATCATTGCTTCATCAAAACCATGAGTGGGTGTTTTTCTTAGCAAGCCTATGTATCTATCCCATGCTTGCCCTAATGTCTCCTCCATGCCTTGTCTAAAAGAAGAGATTTCCTGCTTTCCTTTGTTGATCTTTGATTGTGGGAAGTATTTACTTAAAAATTTTGCAACCACATCTTCCCACTCAGTAAAGCTATTCTCAGGAAAAGAGTTCAACCACAGTTTAGCATTGCCTCCCAATGAGAAAGGAAACAAGCTCAATCTTATAGGATCATCTGGCACTTCATTCAGCTTTACAATATTACAGATCTCATTAAAGTGGTCAGATTCTCATATGGACTTTCATTAGACATCCCATTGAACTGATTGCTCTTCACTAGATGGATCAGCGCAAGCTTCATCTCCATACTTGCGGCATTGACCCTCGGCTTTGCAATGCTGTTAAAATAATGAGGGCCAACCACTGTTGCATAATCTGCCAAAGTACGCCTAGCACCATTGTTGTCCATGCTTTCCTGATCAGATTGTACGGCCTGTGAAATTCTCTCAAGAGAAGGTTCTCTAGATAATCTGCTTCTTCTTGGCCTCCTACTAGTCTCAAGTCCTTCAAGAAGAGGTTCAACACTTCTGTTGCTCCTTGTTCTAACTGTATCCTGCATAAACTAAACACAAAACCCTAGAAAATTTGTTAGTAAACAAAAAACAAAAATACTTGACAAAAAACAACTTAAGAATAAAATTAAAATAAAAAATAAAAATAAAGTAAAAGTTAATCAAGAATCACACAAATAAAATAGTTTAAACCGTGAGTCCCCGGCAACGTTGCCAAAAACTTGTTGATGGATTGACAAGTGTACCAAATCGCACAAGTAATATAAAATGGTAAGACCAAGTATCGTATCCCAGAGGACTCTCGACACTAAACAGTCATATGATAACTCGATTAATTAATAATTAAATAAAAAGAGATCATTGGTTTAAAATGCAAAGACAGAAAATTAAATACGAATGCAATTGATCAATAGCAAAGAACACAACGATGAACGGAAGTTGTTTATAAAATGAGATGATTATGTTGTTAGGGTTTGATTTCACCAAGTTTACTCTCATGTATATAAGAATTCTTCTTTTTACATTAATGTTAACGTGAGTTAAATAGAGCAAGCATTGAAACAGATGAATTCCCTAACAATTAATGAAAAAGCATATATGATTAAGAATCAATTCAAATACATGAGAGTTCACAAGGTTACATCATAACCCAACAACAAATAGAGTTTAGTTCCCCACAAACATGGAGAAAGTAGATGAATAATAGAAAAGCATGAGATAGTAAAACCCTAAAAGTAGAAGAGGAAGCTCCCGCCTCCAAATCCGCCTTAAGAGAGTAGAAGAGTGTGTTGTTGTGTTGCTCCAGCCAGAGATACCAAACCTGGGAAAATACCATCCATCTCTATAAACGTATGTCATCTTCCATGCTTCACTGCCCTATTCCTAGTTACCTTAACTAGATGATTTGAGTGATTCTCCATAGCAGTTTCGGACCTTTCTTCTCTACACATCAAGTATGAGTAAAACTTCATGTTGCTCAGATCAACACTAAACTCAGCATAAGTTAGCACCCTAAGGCGATACATTCATCCCTTTCTACCCCATTGCGAGAGGAAAGGGCAACAATCAAATCCCAGTCCCTTTTACCTCCCATCATGGACGGAGAGACACATCTCCTCCACTACCTCTTAAAGACAAAGAGATCCACCTTTCTACCGCGTCGCAAGAGGAAAGGTGACCACCTTTCTACTTTCTCAAAAAGAGGAAAATTACAACCACAACTTAAAGAAGTATGGCAAGAAGGAATAACTAATGACATAACCACCACCGCCACACATCATTTTCAGTACAACAATGTGACATTCACATGAATACTAGATAATTGTCAAAGAAATCCATTTCACAGCATCTCATCCCTTGAGTTGCAACCTCCAAAATCATGTATCACCTTCTTGCAACCATATCCTAACCATGTGGAAATCTCACTAGCCACAACCACCCAATAGTAAACCTTAACCCCTACAAACCTTAATCAGTCCAACACAATGATGAATATCTTCATCAACACCAGCTATTAAAACAACTGCTATAACTTGGCTTTAACAACCCAAACTATCAATCATCACACAAAGACAAGCAAACAAATTTACTCTTACATCATTCAAACTAGCTTCAAATGCTTAAGCAACCAAATGTTAAGACAAAATCATAATGTCCAACAACCAATGTTTTGAAATTTATCAAACAATACTCAACAAAATCTAATTATAGAAAGAAACGTCGAAACAATTATTTTTACCCAAAAGGTAAATGCTTAAGCAACAAAATCATCTATTTGAATCACTAGGAAAAAATATACATAGTAAATATGAGAGTGATTTTGACCATGAAAATAGCATCTGATGCAAAATCATACTTTAAACACTATCAAAATTATATATAGAACATACCATGTTGGGATAAATGGTAGCCATCCTATTAAACAAAATGCCAGCTTAAAAACATGTGATAAACAATATAAAACTCTATCAACTTCAAAGCGTTTAAACTAAGTAACACATGTATGATCTAGCATTCAAGCACTAACTTTGCTTAAACATAAAAGCAAGTTTACGCAAACACTCTCATAAGACAAACGTGTGAAAAAAAGTATCTCGTTAAAATCTTTCAACATATCATATAAGCAAAACAAGCTAGATTCTTATGAAAACATAATTCTATCTTGTATATAACACTAAGGGTTACAAGAAATTTTCATTCAAATACAGTGTTATATCAAAAAAGCTTTCTAAAGAAAACATAATCTAATAAGTTACTGCTAAACACTATAGCCTTTGAGAAAGCATCTTATATGAATATCAGCTGATGAATATACATGTTATTTGTCTTACCAAACGATGCATTTATGAATGAAATGACAAATGATAAAATGTCTTGAACACGCTACACTGCTTAATGCTTATCAACGTTTAAAACATTTAATGCATGTATGAAAAAATACTTTGATGCTTGTGTACTTTTTTCTTGATATTCGTGCAAATCAATAAAGTAGAAAGATATGATCAGAATCACAAAACCCAAGAAAAAGATGTTGTGAGAGAAGAAGAACATTCTGGGAATGTTTCCCTTGAAGTCTTCTACTCTATCAAATTGTACAAGCTCAAGGTTCGCTTAGGGCTATGAGAAAATGTCAACTTAAAGGAAGCATAATATATCACTCTCGGCAACTTGTCATTATTTTGAGTCAAGACAACTCCCAATGGATAGTTGGATGCATCATAGATCAATTCAAATGGGGCTGTCCAATCTGGTGCCTAAATGATTAGAGTGGTGGTCAATGCTTCCTTGAGGTAATCAAATGCCTGCTTACATCTTTCATCAAATTGAAACTCCACGTCTTTTTACTGCAAGTTGGATCATGGAAGGGCTTTCTTGCTGAAATCTCTGATAAATCGGCTGTAGAAACCTGCATGCCCAAGAAAAGATCGCACCTCTCGCATGCAAGAGGGGTATGGAAATTGTGCAATAACAGATATTTTTGCAAGATCTACTTGTATACCCTTATTAGAAATGATATGCCCTAAAACTAAACCTTGTTCAACCATAAAGTGACATTTTCAAAATTAAGAACAAGGTTGGTTTCAATGAATCTTTGAAGAAATTTATCCAAACTGTCTCTACATGTTTCAAAACAGGAGCCATACAAAATGAAGTCGTCCATAAACACCTCTTTGCAACTCTCAAGAAAGTCATTGAAAATACTTAACATGCACTACTGGAATGTACCAGGTGCGTTGCATAGGCCAAAAGACATCCTCTTACAGGCAAAAGTGCCAAAGGGGCAGGTGAAGTTGGTTTTTTCTTAATCCTTAGGTGCAATATGTATTTGAAAATATCCAGAAAAAACCATCAAGAAAACAGTAATGAGACTTACCTACCATCCGCTCAAGCATCTGATCAGTGAAAGGTAGAGGGAAATGATATTTCCTTGTTGCTTGGCTAAGCCTACTATAGTCAATGCAAACTCTCCAACTATTCTACACTCTTGTAGGAATGAGTTCATCCCTTTCATTTCTAACAACTGTGAGGTCAATCTTCCTTGGAACAACATGGACCGGGCCCACCCACTGACTATCTGAGATAGAATACATGATCCTAGCTTGGAGAAGCTTGGTCACCTCCTTCTTTATAACATCCAAGATCACTAGTTTTACCTTTTCTACGGCTGTCTAACTGGTTTAGCTCCATCCTCCAATAGAATTTTACGCATGCTCGTGGATGGGCTGATACCAAGAATGTCAGCCAAGGTCCAACCAATAGCGTTCTTGTGCTTTTGTAGCACATCCAACAACTTCTCCTTTTGAACATGATTAAGGGAGGTGGAAATGATCACCGGTAGTTTCTCCTCATCCTCCAAGTAAGCGTATTTGAGGTTTTCTGGAAGCGGTTTACCCTTTGGAGTGGGTGCCTACAAGTCATATTTATCTACATTTCCTACAAAAGGGTTAATGTATTCTGACTATAAAGACTTTACATGTGGAGGTACAACATCCATCACAAAACATACATCATGTTCAGATTCCCAATCATCAATATCGAGATCAACATCAATCACGGATTTACATTCAATCTAAAAATATACAAAGAGGATAGAAAAGAATGTTCCTTATCCTGTGTTGAGATTGTTGATAGGGGGAGCACTGTTTTAGCTGAACCCACACTAGTACAAAAACAGCGTACAACGTCAAATATTTTGGGCCTTTCACGTCGAATTCGAGAACGACGTCATATCGGGAGACGATAAATTGATGTCGAATTTAAAAAATTCGACGTTAAATTTAACATCGAATTTTATCAATAAACGACGTTAATCAATTTTTTTTATTTTTTTTAAATTAATTGTGATCCATTTTTACAACTCTACGAGATCTGAAAAGCAAAAAAACAACAAATTTCAGTTTTTGGTATTTTGTAAAGTATGAGCTATGAACGTGTAATATAGTATCAACAATAAAAAACAATGACAAAAAACAAACAAGTCTAATCAAACAACAAACAAGTTCAATCAAACAACAACAACAAACAAGTTCATCCAAACAATAACAACAAACAAGTTCAACAAAAAATAACAAGAAACAAGTTCAACAAATAAGTTCTTCAAAACGAAAATGAAAACGAAAACTAACCTTGGTTCATCGGAATAAAGTGTTGTCACACGTGAGAGAGAAAGCAGAATGCGCCTATGAAGGACAACAACACGAAAATAATTGGTCAAAACAAACAAAAATTATACCTAAAGTAGTAAATTAACATGCATTTGTATCAAATAAAAGAAATATTTAATGTGATGGGTTAAAGGGGTGTGTTTATTATTTTTGACGTGAAGTCTCTATAAAAACCTTGTTGTAAAAGTCTTGATCATTATAGTGCATTGGCTTCATGTGGTTGGAAGGAGACTGGATGTAGGCTTGGTCGAACTAGTATAAAAACTCAGCGTTTGGTCTTTCTTATCCCTACTCTTTTACATTCAATCGATTATACTTTATACTCATTCGATTAAATTTCCGCTGCATTGAAAATATTTTAACTTGCGTTTCAAGAAAAGTATAAAGGCATCTCTTTTGGTGAAAAAGATTTTGAAAGTTTTAAATTTTATACTTCACCAATTCACCCTCCTCTTGGTGTGAGAAATTGGGCCATTCTATTTTAATATCATCCAAAGAATCAAATTCAGTAGCATATTCATCAACAACATCATCAAGAATATCAAGTCTAAAAACAGAATGGACCTCAGTTGGAAATTTCATCGCATCAAGAATATCAAAATGCACTACAATATCACTAAATTCAATTAATAAAGTTTCAGCATACACATGAATTTTAGTTCGGGCTGTCTTCAGAAATAGTGTGCCTAAAATTATTAGAGTAGATCATGGGAGAATCCCTCCTCCATTTCCAAAACATAAAAATTTGTAGGGAAAAACAGTTCACCAACCCGAACTAAAACATCATTTACGTAACATGTTGGGTGAGCAACACTTTTATTAGTCAACTGAATGACAACACCTATAGGTTACAGAGGACCAAGAGAATGAGATTTATAAATTGACAAAGGCATAACATTAATGAAAACACATAAATCAAGCATGGCATAAGGGATGCAAAATGTACCTAGGTCCTTGCATTTTTCAAGAATGTGTGGAACAGATTTACCTATGAGTGCAAATACATTTCTGCTCATGCTAATTCTTTCATTTCCCTTCATCTTCCTCTTGGGAGTACACTACTCCTTCAGGAGTTTTGTATACTTAGGAATTTGTTTAATGGCATCTAATAAAGGTATGTTCACCTCCACTTTCCTGAAGGTCTCCAAAATATCTTTATCCACCTTTTTCATCATTTTACTTTGAATCACTTTTGGAGGGAATGGAAGAGGGATAATACGTTGCTGCAAGTCAGAAAACGTACTGGTGGAAGAAGAAGAAGGTTCACCTGCCTCAAATTTTCTACTTGTACCTACCTGCTCCTCTTTTCTTTGAGATGTAGCAAGATCATCCTCCTTTGCTTTATTGAGCTGAAGTGTAGG